TGAAATTTCAGTATTGTATCTGTTTTAAGTTTTCTAGTTCTTGCTACGATACTCTTTCCGTGCATATTCTAAAAATATTGAGCTCATGCATGCTACGAATAGACGAACTGATGTCTAAAAAATTGAGAAAATGCTGCACAGTATTTATTTTTGCTTTGTTTATATTTCTAGCAAGCGCTGTGTAATGAGCACAACGTCCCGTTTTCACACCCAATATGTTTCGTTTTTTCTTAGACACTTTGTTATAGTGACAAAGACCATTTGGAATTTGATTCTAAAATGTATGAGGAATTCAGCGATGCATTTGTCACAACTGAATATGAACTATACATGATGTAATAGGCGTCCTATGACTGGCCTTAGCGAAACTTGATTTTGTAAACACTATCCAATATGGCGGAAAGCTCACTTCGGCGTTCGTGTTCGTGTATATTCCAAAACATCCCAACCGATTCTAGGTTTATCGGCGACGTTTCAGAATTATTTAGACGTGTTTCTTCACAGCAGTCGAAATGTTTGTTTTTGTTTCGAGGTTTAGCCCCAAAGATGCCATTTTGACAGACGACGGAGAGTAACACTTACATGTTTACAGCGCGGAATTGTGGGGAAATATTAGGGGAATTCCCGGATTTAATGAAAATATTTACATTAGGACGTCATTAGATAATGATATGCTAATAAGTGTTTGATACAACCGTTTTTGATGATGCCATTAACTAATGATGCATTAAGGATTTAATGTATCATTAGGGTTTAATGTTGACATTAGTTAATGAAGCAATGATACAACCGGATCCTCAGGTCATTAAGTTCTGAAAGGGTCTAGTATTTACAATGACAATCTTGCTCTGGATCTACTAAGGAACTATTTCACACACTCCAATGCCTATTTAAGATCAGCATAAAGTAACGTGAAGACAATGAGTAGATGTTATATTTCAAAACAACCAATAGTGAAAAATAATAGCATGTACCTTGCATAGAACTTTGTCACAAAATAATTCACAAGTAAAATCCACAAGTTCTTACATTTCAAACGATTTCACAAACACAAAACATTTAAATACTATCACAAAGTAAAATATTCAAAATATTTTCAATACACAATATGAAGCATTGGACGATCCCACAAAATGTTTCCAGTAACTATGGTAACAACATGTCATAATGGCAAACAGCTGAACTATGATAACCTTCACACAAAGGTCAATATACAGTTAAAAGTAGCAGAAGAGACGAGTCGTTTATTATAGCAGGAGGGGTTGGTGGGGTAGCCTAGAGGTCAAAGCATTCGCTCGTCACGCTGAAGACCCGGGTTCAATTCCTCACGTGGGTACAGTGTGTGAACCCCATTTCTGGTGACCCTCACCATGATATCGCTGGAATATTGCTAAAACCGGAGTAAAAATATACTCACACACTCACTACAGGGAGGAGGGGCCTATCAATTTTTCTTATAATTTAATCACATTTTTTCCGTATTTTTGCATGCAGTGAGACCAGATCTGGAACCTTAACAAATCTGGAAATTGCTTTATCTTTGTAATTCATAACCTGAAGATTTCACTTGGACCGCTAGTAGAACATTTCATGTACATTCTTCTGTGAGTGTCTTCATGGCGGCTACTTGCATCATCAACATATAATATTTTATTCCAATACCTAGGGATGCCACCATACATCGATGCATCAATACTTTTTCTAAGAATATACAATTATCGATACATTCAAATCTGTATCGATATTTAGTGTTGAAGGTATCGGTTTAAATATGTTGGTGTATCGTTTACATTTTGCAGTTGTATCATGTTTTTCGATGTTATGAGAGTTATAAATGATTATTTTTCATGCACAAAGATGGGAAATTAGAACTTTTTAATCTCTGAGAATCAAAATTGTTGATCTTTTCATAGACAATTATATAATATGAAACATTAATGTTCAAAATGTAACAAAATTTACGCAACAATGCCGCGAAAATATGTATCGTGATACGTATCAAATCGTGACATGGGTATCGTGATACGTATCGATTCATGGAACTTATGTACTGCGACATCCCTACCAATACCTTAGATGGTCTCACAGTCCCTGAAACACATCATTTTCCCTTCTGTTGTTTCTCCAACACTAAATCTGTAAATGAAGCAAGTCTAGATTTCCTCAGGTTCAGTTTCTGAATCTCCTTTCTTAACGGCTCCTTTTCTGTTTTAAAGAAAGGAACTGTTTGTTGTTATCAAGATTATATACATATAGAGACTAAGCCTTATCCTGTCCAACAACTCTCTTCAGGGAGATCTGACATCTGGTGAGGTTTCTTATCAGCCAGTTAAAATATATGCACCTGTTTCTTGGTATCAGAGCCTTTGAGGCACCGTTACACTTGAAGCTATATTCTATGGAGGAATTATTAGATCTTCACACAGTAGAAACATGTCAGCACCAGGATCAGTGAGTGAGTGAGTTGAGTTTTAGTCCACTTTTAGCAATATTCCAGCAATATCACGGCTGGGGACACCAGAAATGGGCTTCACACATTGTACCCATGTGGGGAATTGAACCCGGGTCTTCGGCGTGACGAGCGAGCACTTTAACCACTAGGCTACCCGACCACCCCACATCAGGATCAGAGAGAAGAAGTAAGGTTTTATCCCAGCTTATTTCGGAGTGATATCCGTCCAACACAAATATACTATTTAATAAAGTCAAAGTCATCGACTTTAACACATATCATAACAAATCTTTGGACCCATCAATACTGTTTGTACAAATCTAAAACATATTCTAAAAATGTCGCACAGAAAAATCATATTAAGTCTAACATAAAAAATCAAAAAATCTAAAAATATTTGTACATTATCATTAACATCATAAAGCCATATTTGGAAATACAATTGTCAGCACAAAATTATGACTTCATCCAAACGCCTTTTCATTCTCTCAATCATAGGTAAACATTTAAATTACTCAACTCAAAACAGTTTTGAAATGTTGAAGAGCTGTTGTCAACTGAAAAAAATGAAATAAAACAAACAGCTTCCTCCCATACTGTCAAAGTACATTACATTCGTAACATAAACCATAGCAGCTTATAAATAACATGTCTGATCTTGTCAGACCAATTGTCAATACATCCTTGTTACACATCCTTGAAAACATGGCCGCTTGGTCAGTGTAAGTAATGTAATGGAAAGCGGCCATTTATAACCCATGGACATTGAATAATCTCAGCTCCAAGCAAGAGACAATGCATACGCAGCCACAAGTCTACTCCTGTGAGAAAGCTGAGAGTTTATTTGTCTGAGCACTATTAAACTGTCACTGGAACCTGGTCTTCGCTTGATCTGTTGCCGTAGTAACCCTCAATCTGGATCTATATTTTCATTAGGTATGGTACCAATACACCAGGAGGCAAATATTACACGCTTCACGCTTATAACGAAGTATATAAATATGTATTCATGAATACTTTATATTTAATTTCAATTTTCACTTTTATATATATTAGACAAGTTCCAAGTAAAAGACACTGTTTTAAAGAATAATCATTAGTGTCGGGAATTGTTTGAAATGTCACAATTGATGATTGGTTCATTACCAAGGAGCAATCATCGAAAGAAATTGGTTAGCTTCATTTTTTCAGATTTTCCTATTCAGGTTGTTATTACAGATAAGTATAACGTGGTTCTTTGTTGTTTTTTGGATTTTCAGAAACTGCACAAATTGCATTTGCATTTGCAAACTTCACATTCAAGGTAAAATGATGCAACTTGCCACTTTAATGTGATGACTAATATATCATGAACATAAACCTCCTGAACACATTTTCAGGCCCTGACAACTTCTAAGATATGTTCCATCGTCAAGTGTTTCAATCACTTAAACAGTAGTTCCAAAATCGTTTGTGTTCAATTATGAGAAAATATGATCGATTGCCTGGTTGTTTGGTGACTGCGACCATTCTTCGAATATTTCAATCAATCGGAACACCATGAATAATCATAAATATGCCATTCTAGTGACCACAGACATTGAACTGAATTCATGAAGGGATATGGTTAGATTCACTAAATGCTTGAGTGAATCGTAAAAGGGCTCGTATTCACAATGATGAGGTTGAAACACAGTGTATACAAACCTGTGAAGTGGACAGTCATATGTCTTCATGGATGATGGTGGAACACTGTGAAGTATTGACAATGTGGTAGACCAAATATCCTTCCTAATCTTGCCTGGGGCAAGGTTGCAAAATATACAAGATTTGTTTATCGTTCACAATATCTGCGGCCAAATGACCATGGCAGTTATGTTAATGCATTGTCCAGGCAAATGTTCAGTTTGTTCTCATAGTTTGTACATCTTTGTTTGGATCAGCCACACACTTGAAGCTATGTACAGTGAGACTAATCTCATTACGTTAACCACAATTACAAACAAACAAAATCATCTCCTTCAAGACACTGAAGGGATGATGAGTTGGGGCAAAATTTCATCATCTAGACCATTCTGGTTATACCACCAACGCCTTCTAGACCATTCTGGTAAAACTACCAGCGCTATTAAACCATTCTGATGATACTACTAATGCCTTTTAGACCATTCTGATGATACTATAAACACCTTCTAGACCATTCTGATGATACTATAAACGCTTTCTAGACCATTCTGATGATACTATAAACACCTTCTAGACCATTCTGATGATACTATAAACGCTTTCTAGACCATTCTGATGATACTATAAACACCTTCTAGACCATTCTGATGATACTATAAACGCTTTCTAGACCATTCTGATGATACTATAAACACCTTCTAGACCATTCTGATGATACTATAAACGCTTTCTAGACCATTCTGATGATACTATAAACACCTTCTAGACCATTCTGATGATACTATAAACACCTTCTAGACCATTCTGATGATACTATAAATGCCTTCTAGACCATTCTGATGATACTCCAAATACCATCTACATCATTCTGATGATACTATAAACACCTTCTAGACCATTCTGATGATATTATAAACACCTTCTAGACCATTCTGTGAAAGAACAAATAACATTCTTTAAAAGTAATTTGTCCTGAGAACAACTGTGTCCAGATGAACATAATATAAAGGTTTCATTGTGTCTTTTGGCTACGAACTGAAGATTAGTCCAAGTCTATCGGTTGTGGAGAAGGGATTTTGTCTGGGGTATCTGGTTCTTCCTCCGATTCTGATACCGATTCTTCAGATGGAGACAACAGCTGCAGTATTCTGTCCATCTTGCTGTTCAGCCTGGCTTCCATGTCTGACATCTGATTCTGTACCTGCGTGAGGATCCGTTCTTCGGCTGAATGGATCCGTTTTGATACTTCCTCCAGGACAGCAGGGTCCACTTGGTTCTGTGCTGGAACTTCACTGAAACAGAATAACTATGCATTTAGTTTTACGCCGCTTTTAGCAATATTTCATCAATATCACGGCTAGGGACACAGCAACGGAAGTCACACATTGTACCCATGTGGGGAATCGAACCCGGGTCTACAACGTGACGAGTGAACGATTTAACCACTATCCCACCACCCTAACAGAAAAAATTAACTTGATAAAACATTGATCATGTCGATAGAGTGAGATAAAAACTTAATGTTTCATGTTCCGTTCATGACTGTTTAACTTATACGCAGCTTTATGCATGCATGCACGTGCACATGTCTGCTTAAACTTGTCCAAATTAATTACTACTTTCATAAATCTATAATGTCTATAGGTAAGAAAACACATGGCATCAATTACAAACATTCTCACATCTGGGTGAACATTCTATCGACACAGACAATCTTTTGTTTGTTTGTTGTTTAAACCTCTACTCAGCAGTATTCCAGCTATATGGTGGCGGTCTGTAAATAATCAAGTCTGACCAGACAATCCAGCAGTCAACAGCATCAACCTACCCAGTAAGGATATAATGACATACAGCGGGTCGGATTAGGATGAAGAAATGCATTCACGACATTGCTGTTTATTAAAATGGAGCAGTTCATCGGTGCAGGCATGAGAAGTAGAGAGCTACTGTCTTTCCCTTAACAATAGACCGGTTCACATATTGATGCGCGTCACCTGCTTTAATGAAAGATGAGTGTATGGTTTAAAATAAGACCTAGATGTAGTGTTAAGAAATAGAACACTTATAGCAAAACTGATCTGGTGAGTTAATATGTGGAAATAGTTCTTTACTAACTGCCTGGCAAAAGAAAGCCATACGACTTTGGCTGAATATGAAAGAAATAAGAGTGTGAAATCTAAAAAAAACAAAACAAAACAAAACAAAACAAAACATTTTCACATCTGGGTGAACATTCTATCGACACAGACAATCTTTTGTTTGTTTGTTGTTTAAACCTCTATTCAGCAGTATTCCAGCTATATGGCGGCGGTCTGTAAATAATCGAATCTGGACCAGACAGTCCAGTGATCAACAGCATCGACCTTCCAGTAAGGATATAATGACATACAGCAGGGGCAGATACAGATTTTTTAGAAGTGTGTGTTCGTGCGTGCGCATGGGGGTTGCACACTTCATTTTCACGAGAGTTTCATAATAAACTTTCAGGAAAAAAGGGGGGGTTCACACCCCTGCACCCCACCCCCACCTGTGGATTCGCCTATGATACCGTTATATTTTTGGATCGATTTTTTAACTGAATCACTGGTTGGTTGGAGCAAAACATGTGCACACAGCTGATTGCTATTTCTGGCTTAGTTGAATAACAGGTAGCATAACAGGAAAACCAATTGAATGATCATGTCTAGTGATGTTTGATTGCAAGTTTCCCATTTTCATTTACAAAGTTTGGTTGTTCACCTCCAACGATACGAGATAGTTTTGAGCTGGCACAATACACATAGTAGTTATGCAATGTTCATGGAAAATATGATTTTACTAGGCCTTTATTCCATGTCACATACAATGCAGGTGTCTCATAAGGTGGGAGGTCATCCTTGGACCCCAAGACCTGCGTTATGGCAAGAGATGACTGTATGTCAACCAAGTCAGCGAGCTTGACCACCCAATACCATTAGTCATCTGTTATGACAAGCATGAGTCGCTGAAGACCTGGAAGACCCAATTCTAACCCGGATCTTCATAAGTGACACAGGCAATCTGAGTGAGTGAGTGAGTTAATTAATTTAACGTCACATCGGCAATATTTCCGCCATATCGTGACGAGAACATGTTTGACATTGAAATGGGACAGAGTTAGAAAAACAACTTAGTTTACTACCCGACTTACAGACAGATGTGACACATTGGTTGTTGATGTTTAATAAGATGTGCCGTTGAGATTGACGCCCAATGATCGAGGGAAAAAATACCATCACCTTGAGCATGCACTAGTGTGTGGATATGTGCGCTATATAAATATCCAATAATAATAATAAAAATAATAATACCACACTGGTGAATACCAGCAACATGAGTATCGTATTGACAAACCAAGGTTCTTAAACAAAACAAAACTTAGATCTGTATGCTTGACCGCTGAATCCTGGTGCAACTAAGAGACGCAACTTTGCATTGCAAATTGCAGCAGTATTTCAACGTACATCTGGTGAACCAATAAAGTTGTATTTTTACAGTATTTTTCAGTTTGCCTAGTCAACAAAACTTGTCTGTTTTAATAGTCATCTCAGTAATCACCATGGCCATGCTGATGGTAAACAGTGGTAGTCCACAAGGATATGTTGCTGGTCCTTCCTGAAAATCACTAGTCTCAGACTAGCTGACCATACGTCAGATGACAAGGATGTTCACATGCAACTATTTATACAATTCTTCAAAGACATTTAGAAGTTGGTGTAGTAATACAGGACAAATCTTATGGATAACAACTTCTTGATTTATTTTTCACAACGTTTCTGAAGAAACCTGAAGAAGGGGCAAGAACTAGCCCAGAAGCGTTGTGAAAAATAAATCAAGAAGTTGTTATCCATAAGATTTGTCCTGTATAACTATTTATTCATAATATAATTCAGGTTTATCGTCATAACACAACATACAAACCTCTTGGAAATTATCTCAGGGTTTGCTTTTTCAGTGTGCCGCAGTTTCGACACCCTCCCGCAGACTGACTGTAGAAACTTGTACATGTCCTCGCTGTGTAAACTGTCTCCGTTCTGACTCATGGACATGTGGGTCAACAGATTCCCGGCCAAATCACTAGGATTGTTTACACCATTGTCCCCCCTCGGCACGGAGGGAGGATTGTTTGGCACGCTACTGTTCATCTTGGAAAACATGGACAACAGTCCAGCCATGCCAGATAATGACGATTCTTTGTCAGGTGGCAATGTGCTCTCAGAGATCATGGTTCGAACATTGTCTAGTGCACCCCGCTGATTCTGAAATTGACAGTGATATGTTCATTACTATTTAACCCACAACTCCTGTCATATACTACCCATCAAAAGTTTAGACTCACTTAAAGCACTCACTATATGTTATGGATATATATATGGTTACATCGAAGATGAATTTCTCCACTAACTTGGGGGAACCAACTGCAAACTTTGTGCAGATGAATTGAACGAGGATCATGCATCAAATTGCTGAAAAGCATGTGCAAATATTGTGCATGTGAACAGATGCGTTTTGGTGTAAAGTTTTGTTAAGAATTTGCCAATTTTCTCTGAGTTTCATCATTTATTGAACTCATAACGATAATCTTTTCAATGTTATGAATTTGTTTTACAATACATCAGTTCATGTGTAAACAGTACCTTTAAACAGTATGGGATATTTAGCAAAATCTAGTTCAGAACAGTTGCCTCGTCCAATCAAGCGCCAAGGCGGCTACTATTTAGGTTCAGCGGGACTTACAAAAGCGGATTTTCTCGTTCGGTCATGCCATGTTGAATTGACAATGAGTAATAGCAAATGTGTTGATGAATCTGATCATATATGATATATTCACATGATCTAATGTGTTATTCCATATATTTAAAGTATGTAGGGAATTGCTAGCTTTTCATCAAAATGACTCTTTTTGATCAGGACTTTTTGCTCACAACAGTCAACATGATCAAGTAATATTTAGGTGAGGCCAGACCAATTTTATTTCTTGTTTTACGGTTCGCCCGGGTCGTAATTTTTCAAGAATAAGAAAAAAATAAAAATATACTTTCCCCACTCAAAAAATATAATCCTAATGTTAAGATATACAGGAGCAAGACTTGAGCCGTAACTGTCCTTTAACATGTTTAAACTGAATTATCTAACAATATTTGCTTCAAACACCTCAGCAAGTGTGAACTTGAAAAACAATGCCTTGGAAAAACTCATGGGTTTTGCTTTGACTGGTGACTTTTATTTTTATCCCTCCTGCCTGAGGACAAAAATTCATAAAACAAGAAATAACATTGGTCTGGCCTGATTGATAAATGTGCTTGGTTCAGTCACACATGAATGGTAACCTAGCCCTGGAAAATGCATTTTATATGCTGAATTACTGAAAGCGAGATGTTGTAGTGAGTGAGCTGGTTAAACATAGCTGGGAATCATCGTTAACTACATTTATAAGAAAGTTGTTTATAACTAACCGAGGGTTTAAAGAACTGGGTATATTTTTGTTCCAGCAGTCTAAAGTAAACTTAGACAGTATTATTCGTTACACTGCTATATTGAGTCTAACAAACCCTAGTAGAAGGTCGCGTCTGCTAACCTTTTCAATTGACCAATCAGAACACAGCTTACCAAATCGTGAAAGTTGACATTTGCACATACCTATTGAACTTTTACCTCGAAAAAGTTTGTACCCAAACGATTCCAAATGCTATTTTCCGTACGATCGCTTCCGAGTGATGCACATGGAGCATGCCACAACAGTGAGTAAACAGTTGCTGAAAATAGCGGTTTTGTCAATATTCAAGGATGTCAGCTTGCGGAAATATTAGCCAATGGTAACCATGTCATGAGAAAGCCCTAAGAGTATATACTGCAGGTATCTGTGTTTGATGCAGGTTTTTGTTTGGTGAGAGATCAGTGTCAGTGACTGGGGAATTTTGTAAGTCCCACCGAACCCTAAACAGTAGCTGTTGTCTGATTGGTTAAAATCCGTTTGTCTGTCTCGCATTTGATTGGACAGTCATAGGTAGGTCAAAGGTTAGCTGATGCGACCTTCTACTAGTGAGTGAGTGAGTGAGTTAGGTTTTACGCCACACTCAGCAATATTCCAGCTATATGGTGGTGGTCTGTAAAAAATCGAGTCTGGGCCAGACAATCCAGTGATCAACAGCATGAGCATCAATCTGGGCAATTGGGAACCGATGACATGTGTCAATCAAGTCAGCGAGCCTGAACACCCGATCCCGTTAGTCGCCTCTTACAACAAGCATGGGTTACTGAAGATCAATATTCTAGCCAGGACCTTCATGGGTAACCTTCTACTAGGGTTTGTTACACTCAGTATAGCAGGGTAACGAATAATACTGAGCCTAAGTTTACTTAGACTGTTTGTTCCAGCTACTTGGTTATATCTAAGTTGATGAAATGGGGATGATGAACTACAGTTACAACAAATGTAAATTTGAGTTCATTCTAACCTAAGTTTTACTGTATTTCAGAATTATTACTGATGCCAGTGTTCGAAATAGCTGGCCACTCTAGCGATCGAGATGGGCTTTGTGCTTGGTGTGAAAACATTAACAGTTTCTTGACGATGCCGATTGTTTGCAGTGAAACCCACAAGACGCTGACAGTACAGGCCTCCAGAAGCCTGAAATTCTACTTGTCTTCAGCAATGTTCAGGACACCTTTCAAGATCAGGCCTGACTAATGTTTTTTAAAGGCACAATGTCACGCTTTTTGGACAATCCTTTGGCCAATATTCTATAGATTGGGGGCATATGCCCTCACTTTAGTTTCCTATTGCAGCAATATAAGACTTATTATCCCTTATACACTTGCCTGAAATCAAGAATTGAAACTTTGAGGCAAACAACTTCCAAACAGAAACACATGCCATATATGGAATGTAAACAATTGCTCCATGCATCGAAAATTGTGGCATGTGGTGCTGTCACTGTTGGCCGAACTGGTTTCAATCACAAGTTGTGCGTAGGATATTTATAACGAGCGCTCTTAGGGACATAACTCTATGGAGTTTGCTTGAAATAATCTTCGGCCAGCAGAGGGCGCGAGAGTCGATTTAATTCATTCGAACTTTTTAATATTGTAATCTAAATACATATTTTTTTGTGGCATTAATTATATGGTACCTTCACTGAGGGCTGATAGGTAGCATCATTGAGAGAAATGCATTACTAATTTTTTAAAAATTGAGGTGTCACATTGTGCCGTTAAGCCAAGCCAAGCAAGGATGAAATGGTAGAAAATGTGTCTTCAACCAATGGTAGATGAGACAGAAGCAGCTGTGTAGCTGAATTCTGTAACTAACTGCTATGGGTTTGAGCAAATTGAATGTGCTATATGAGCCTCTGGGCAATTGGGAACCGATGACATGTGTCAATCAAGTCAGCGAGCCTGAACACCCGATCCCGTTAGTCGCCTCTTACAACAAGCATGGGTTACTGAAGATCAATATTCTAGCCAGGACCTTCATGGGTAACCTTCTACTAGGGTTTGTTACACTCAGTATAGCAGGGTAAAGAATAATACTGAGCCTAAGTTTACTTAGACTGTTTGTTCAAGCTACTCGGTTATACCTAAGTTGATGAAATGGGGATGATGAACTACAGTTACAACAAATGTAAATTTGAGTTCATTCTAACCTAAGTTTTACTGTATTTCAGAATTATTACTGATGCCAGTGTTCGAAATAGTTGGCCACTCTAACGTCCGAGATGGGCTTTGTGCTTGGTGTGAAAACATTAACAGTTTCTTGACGATGCAGTTTGTTTGCAGTGAAACCCACAAGATGCTGACAGTACAGGCCTCCAGAAGCCTGAAATTCTACTTGTCTTCAGCAATGTTCAGGACACCTTTCAAGATCAGGCCTGACTAATGTTTTTCAAAGGCACAATGTCACGCTTTTTCGACAATACTTTGGCCAATATTCTATATATTGGGGGCATATGCCCTCACTTTAGTTTCCTATTGCAGCAATATAAGACTTATTATCCCTTAAGACTTGCCTGAAATCAAGAATTGAAACTTTGAGGCAAACAGCTTCCAAACAGAAACACATGCCATATATGGAATGTAAACAATTGCTCCGTGCATCTAAAACTGTGGCATGCGGTGCTGTCACTGTTGGCCGAACTGGTTTCAATCACAAGTTGTGCGTAGGATATTTATAACGAGAGCTCTTAGGGACATAACTCTATGGAGTTTGCTTGAAAAAATCTTCGGCCAGCAGAGGGCGCGAGAGTCGATTTAATTCATTCGAACTTTTTAATTTAATATTGTTATCTAAATACATATTTTTTTGTGGCATTAATTATATGGTACCTTCACTGAGGGCTGATAGGTAGCATCATTGAGAGAAATGCATTACGTATTTTTTAAAAATTGAGGTGTCACATTGTGCCGTTAAACCAAGCCAAGCAAGGATGAAATGGTAGAAAACGTGTCTTCAACCAATGGTAGATGAGACAGAAGCAGCTGTGTAGCTGAATTCTGTAACTAACTGCTAAGGGTTTGAGCAAATTGAATGTGCTAAATGAGCCTTCGTAATTTTTAATATTCAATATCTCATCTTGTTCTAAATTAATTTAGAGAGATCCTTAAAGGTCCCCAGCTGTGATATTGCTGGAATATTGCTAAAAGTGGCATAAAACCATACTCACTCACAAGTTGGTTATAATTAAAAACACTGTCTAATGCTTTTACAATTCTTTTTCACTTATTACATTTTGATACTGTTCCATGGTGTCCAGCAGAGACTTTGCGTTATCCGAGACTTTATCTCCAAGTTCTTTCACATGATTCCTCAGTTTACCAATGTCCATTTGAGAGGAACTGTTCTGTGACGCCATCTGGATAAGAGTTATCTGTAGACGCTTGATCAGGAATGATGTTCTATCTTTCAGTGATAGGAACTGCAACATGTAGAATAAAAAAATAGCAAATCTTTCATTACTTTCACTTAATCTTATGTTCTTCCATATTAATAGTGAAAATGTGAAATCAGGAGGATATCTGAATATTTGAACAGAATTGATCAAATTTATGCATATTCACACCAAAATGTCATTCACATAAGCATGTCCAGACCCTGGCTTTGTCCACACCATCTAGAAGTAGCTGCATCATCAGCTGTCTGTCCTAATGTATTCTTATTTTATCACCTATCCTTTCATTTTTTTCATTTTATCAGATCACAGATTCCAGAATTTCTGCCATCAGAAGAATTATTTATGGTTGAAAGACTAAAAAGAAATTTGATTATTCATTTTACCATTTCTTTTACAAAAATGACAATAACTTCTTGATAAATTGCTCTAAAATTGAATCAATGGCTTTTTCAAAGTCTTAATTAAAGTAATCTGGGGTTGTATATTCACTTAGTTTTAAGTGATGCCCTTTCACTGATACATGTACATCTGTCAGGATGAAATCTAGATTTGTTTCATTTCATGAATAAAACATTCCAGTGTTGATTTAATACAGTCTGATATCAATAATATACAAGTTCTAGCAATATATGCAGCAACAACTCTTTTCATTGCATATATCATTCCATTTTTCTTATGGAAATTTTGAACAAAGTCTGTGCTGAAAAGTTTCAGTCTAATGAGCTTGAACCTGTATTTTGGTATTATTTTCAATACACTTTAGTCTTGGCCTATGGACAAGCATAAACCAGAACAAATTTGACTAGGCTTTGGACTAGTGCCTAAACATGCTAAAGTCACAGACTCTTAATGTATCATTCTTATATTTCTCAATATCCAAAATGTAACATCATTTCACTCACTGGAAGAGGTACCTACAGTGTTACATTATATCCTCAATTCTCATGAATATTTGTAATGTCCACATCTTTAAATCCTAAGCAATATTTTGATAAATGGGATGAAAATATACGTGACATTGGTGACAGTTACCTTAAAAGTAAGGCATTTTGTTGGTTCTTCTGTAGACAAACTTGAAATATAATAGCGAGTATCATCTTCAGAATTGGGAACTGACTTTCCTCGGATTGTAAGCATGTACCCCTCAGTTTGTCCATAGACCTCCATGTTCCGAGATTCACTGACAATCTGTACTGCTGTTATTCCAACATGGTACACAGACTTGCAACGGACTGTTAAGTGACAGTTGCTGCTCTCATTTTCTGCACCTTTGTAAATTTCCAGCTTACTTGGGAAAGAAAGCGATTCAAGGCTGAAACAAAGGAAATGTAGAAAAGGTTGGCATTTATCTCTTACTTGGAGAAGAAAAAAACATAATAATATCACGTAATCACTAATGAACACTCCTTGACCATGTTGACAGTGGAAACTATTTACTTACCCATTAGTCCAGCATATAACTAGACTAGACGATTTTGCACTATACCAAGGTGTGCTCGAATGTAGGCCTTGGCTGGAATACGAGTTTAATCATATGAACTACTTACCCATCAACATTTTGTTTCTCGTCACTTTCTTGAAAATAATCAATGATGGTGTTCGGATCCCTATCACAATCCCAATCAAACTGGATGTCGCAATATTCGGCCATTGATGAATATCTCATTCATAAAAAATGTCAAAATGTCTTTAAATACTGAAATAGTTCCCGAAGAACAAGCTCGCTGTAAGTCGCTCTGAATGTCCAAACAAGGAAACCACGTTCAACGTTAAGAACAGATGACGGTCAGATTGAAGATTCTAAACACAACTTTGAATCACGATGCTACGATTTTCACATACAATCATTCTTTAACCATACAAATAGAGATTGCACAGGTAAATACGCCTCACAATTCTTATCCGGAAGTTGACACCATTTTCTAACTCTGTTTCTGAAGAGCATTGAAATAGGGACCTTTCATTGCTGAGAGTTATTATCTGATATAAATATTATATTTTGGGTAATGCTATGAACTTGCGATGTAACAATTAAAACCTTTTGTATAAATTAGCAATTTTGTTTATTTTAATAGTTTACTTTTGGAGACTGAAATAATTTATTTTTATGTTTGTTTTTACACACTGAGTACTCCCATAGCAGACAAAATGTCGAAAGAAAATGTGCCCCGGAGTCAGGCTCAAAAGTTAAAGAATTGTTCAAAATACGCGATCCTGGTGCTCGCAGACTGGATTCAACTTCAGTATTCAGGGCTGTAAACTTTGAGCTATATGCGCGTCCTGTAAGTAAACAGAGTATTTCAAGGAAATTTCGACCATTAGTTTGGATATCCATGTCAGTATTTCAATTTTCATCACATGGACTGATTCAAGGATTGAACACGTTTATTACGTTTCTCGGCAGCAACTAATTATAACCAAAATGAATACCTTTCACTTGTAAGTTAACGCAGTACTTAATGGAAATTTCAAATTTCGACATTACATATTTCATCATATGCATTGATTCAATGGGAACATGAATGAAAAGGGCCAATTGAAAAAGTCAAAAGGGCCAAGGGAAAGTCAAAAGGGCCAAGGGAAAGTCAAAAGGGCCAAACTTTTAGAAAATAATAAGATTAGAAGAAATTCATTACATGTTCAGATGTTTGATGGGCATTTAGAAGTTGGAAGGTAACATAACAACGTATGGTATGGATTTACAACTTCTTTAATAATTACTACACGACGCTTCTGGGCTATTTCTTGTCCCTTCATCAGATGAATAGTTCTAATCCTAAACATCTCAGAGCATCTCAGTGTTGTTTACTTAAAACATCTCAGAGTGGTTAAGTGTTTATTTTATGAGTATAGTCAACCATACAACTGTCTATTTAATGATTACTAGAGGTTTAACAGAGGGTGCTCGATAGGCCAATCATCCATGATTATGTTTACATTAAGTTTTAATCGATTGCATGCGATGGTAGCGTAGCGATCAGCAAAGCAGGTGGGTGGGGTGCACCGAAGTGTCCGGCCTTGTCATGATGTATTGTACTGAGAAGCACTTCGAGTCGGGGGTCATCTCAAAAACAATATTTTTTTAATCATTGATCCTCGCAAAGACACGAGGGCCTGTGGCATGTACTAGATTTGGTAGAAATCTCTGTTGGTACACATTGTCCAGTTCCCATTCCATCTTGTATGACATTTATATAGCTGTTTAATTATAAGTTTTCAAGATGTATTACATTTTCTCATTTGGTTTTGTTTTTTTCAGAACAAGTTTGTAATGTTTACTGGCCTGGTTTCATTTCTCACCTGTGTTGGGTACATGCTGTACATGAAGCAATCTGATGAGAAAAACAACACATACGCTGCTATGAATCCAGATGGAACATTGTCAACAAGAAAGAGGACGTCTAGATGGGATTGATTGTTGCTGTGGCTTGTCAAATCTATAATTAACAGTGATGGAACAGTGTTTCAGTCATACTGCTGAGGATGTAGTTCGCAGCAAGCAGTCAACCAACTTTCTTTGTGCTGTACATAATGTTATGTATACAAGACAGTTTTAAATGATTATGTACAGATGTGATATTTAAGGCTATTCCTTAAATACATAATGACTGAATGGTGATGTAAATGGTATTGAGTTACTGTGTAAAATATTAAGGTGCTGTGATGTGTATTTGTAGATTCTTTAACTGTCATATGTTGACATGTTTGTATATTTCTTAGTAAATGAATAAACTGATACATAAATCTTAGTTTTATATTTGATAGGACAGTAGTAAAGGGAAATTATGTATCAAACATGGGGTAAACTTTTCCTTGCTTATTAATTGGTTTATTCAATAAAGGGGCCACAGGCCCATTATACAGTTACATGAGTCATATCATGAAAGTGGAAAATCTGGAGCGCCATAGCACTGTACAAGATACATCAATAAACATACACTTAATGGGTTGTACAAGTTTTGTTAAGGTAATTGTTACGTTGTTTGAATGCAAGGAACAAAAACTTCGCTAAACGATTTAAAATACCTGAATCGTGTGATGTGCAAAGTAATACCATTTTATCATAAGAAGGATGAGTACAATAGAACTCAGGCAAAATTGTATGTCTGAGATTATAGTAAAAAGGACATTCCAAACACATGTGATATTCTGCTAATGAGCTTGTTAGTGAGTATCATGTTGACATGTTAGAACTAATTCTGAAATATGACACTACTTAACATACTAAAGCCTATCAATATTGCATTTAATGTAAGGGCTTTATGTAATCAAAGCTAAAATGATGTAACTTCATGCTTTTTGCATTAAGAACTCTTGAACTACATTCATTTTGAAGTGCAGATGCATATCTAAATGCTTTGGCCACTTGATCAGAGAAGATCGAATCCACAATGCTGATTGGTTAATTCAATGTGTGAGTGAAACCAGCACTCTCAGATGTATGCTGGGCCTCTCCCACGTCTCTTCCACACTAACACACACCTAAGCAACACTCCTAAGCCCACTAAATAACACCCAAACCTTCATGGCCTTAGGTATATTCCTAATCAACACTGGTTGCATATAATCCCACATAACCTGCTAGTACCAATATGGAAAAACACCACATAAACTAAAAAAATATATATTAAAAATATAGCAACCTGACCACCACATACTTCCACTTCCCCCACCACTTCTGGTAAATTTCCAAGTTCAAAATTTATACAAAATTAATTTTGCAACCCTAACACCCTTCATCAGGTTGCCATATCTTTCTGTCATAATCACTCCTCTTTCAATCAAACTTTATGTGGCCTGACGGGTTCGATGCAAAATATGCATCATGTCGAAAAGCACACATAAAATCTCTAAAATCATCATCATCATCTCCTAATCCACATAATGATATCTACAGATGGACACTTCAGCGTGAGTTACACAATCAGCTGGTGACAAGTGTGTGCTAGGCTGGTTGGGGGATACTAATCTTCATCCTGTTGATTAGCCATTCAAAGATCAATCTGCTTTGTATCAAATCCTTACATTTAATACATACACAGTAGAAGAAGTATCAGTTAATACATATTTTTGTTTTGACTGGAGCCAAAACCTGCAATTACAAATTGATATAAACTTAGTTTTGGAGTGTTTTCTTTTTCCTAAATGTGATTTTTGAAACTAAAATTTTTGACAGAAAATTAAATACAGTATCAAGATAACTTAAGTTTTTCATAAGGTACGAGATGTTCAAATTACATTTGAGATAGGTGGTGTGATATGCGTGGCATGCTGGTCACAAATCCAGCAGTTCAGTGTTGACCACTGAGAGTAGATGGATGTGTCACTGTACATGTTTGACAGCTTGACTCCTGAGAGATTCTAGGGCTGTCATTCTGCCCCACAGAAGCAAATGTACTTCTTTTTAGGTAAGTTGGGCCTAATGGTTAAAATGTCTGCTCGTCACGCCGAAGACCGGGCTGGATTCGCACATGGGTACAACGTGTGAAGCCCATTACTGGTGTCCGATATTGCTGGAATATTGCTAAAAGCGGTGTAAAACCACACTCACTCACTCACTCTTAGGCAAGTGAAGTATGCCTTTTGTTCACCCAGCAGGGTACCAAGCTGGAGATGGTAATGAGATTTTTTACCTTCTGGCATATCAATGTCAGTTCGGTTGTATATCATATGTATATAATAATGGTGTACATTGAGCATGATATCAAGCATGGAAGATGTACAATACAAATGGATTGTTGTTGTTGAGATTTGATACACATGATAACCAAGAATGTAATCTTGGCTTGAGGCATGAGTGACAGTGACACACTATTTAAGTTTTAATGTCCATGAAAGAAGTGAGAACCAAGATAAATCTTGTCCATAAACTTGTCCAGTCAGAACTGGGTCAAGCTAGGAACACCTTCAGATTATCTGGGTTGGCATTTTGAGCTTAATGAGTTGTCAACCCTTGATAGGCATAGTGTTCGGAGCAATGAATCTTAGTTTTAGAGTAACTACCAGTGTATATAAGCAGCTTGGAGTATCATTATTGTGTTATGATTTTGTATGTAGATCTATGCAGAACTTGGTGCAGGGTTTGATTGATGGCGATTTGATCCAGGGTGTCTCTCACAACAGAGATTCAGCGTACTGGGGGCGGTGGGGTGGCCTAGTGGTTAAAGCGTTCGCTCCTCACGTCGAAGGCCGGGTTCGATTCCCCACATGGGTACAATTTGTTAAGCCCATGTTGGTGTCCCCTGCTGTGATATTGCTGGAATATTGCTCAAAATGGCGTAAAACCATACTCAGTCAGTCAGTTCAGCGTACTGATTAATCATGTATGCCATAGTTAGTAATATCACTGAATATCTAAGTAACATTATATCAACATTAGTTATGTCTCAATACAAAATGGGAATATCAATACATATATTACTTTAACCTTATCTTGAAAACTTTCACTAATTTTAGGCCAATATACAGAAAATACTACTGATGTAAGATGACGAAATGTTCAGGTGATATTGATTATATTAGACAATGCCTTAGATCTTTAAAGAATTATTTATTATGTTCATAAACCATAACAATTGTAGTTAATTTTTAAAAATTCTGTGCTGACTGTCATGTTAGCGATATAAATACAGATGTTATATTTTCTGTTAATATGTTGAATTAGCATATGAATGTGTGAGTACTTCCCAAGACAAATTCTTGTATGGGTAAGGGAAACACTCAGTGGAATTAACACAATATTAGTGGATGTTGTCATTGTAGTAGTAATAGTAGTAGTTGTTGTTCTTGTTGATGATGATGATGATGATGGTGAGAGTCTTGGACAGCCCAGGTGAATCTTTAGTCATCACAGAATACATCCTATTACATTCCTTTGTTTCTGAGCACTATTTCAGTGTTAATGTTTCACTTTTG